CAATACAAAGTGTTAGTCAAACTAAGTATTATAGTATTTAAAAATGTGCAAACTGACCCAAAAGAATTCAGATTAAAATATTTGAGTAAAGGGCTCCAAAACAACTGGAATGTTGATTTAATCATAAAACATTAGGGCTGAAAGATCCTTGGGGTCATCTAGCTAGCACAGCTCTGTTTTACAGATGAAGAAGCTGAGGTGCATAGAGAGAAAGAGACATCACAGGGAGTGCCTGGGGGGCAGAACTGGAGGCAGCATTGCCTCCCAGGCCTAGCCGGCAGGGCAGGCCACAGCCCAAACCTCCAGCTTCCTGTCTCTGTTCTCCTTGGACCATTGGTGTCTGCCATTCAAAACTAGCAAAAAAGCCAGAACCTGGCCCTCACGATCTGTCTACACCATGACTGTATCAGTGTGTCACCTCCAATTTAAGTAAAGGGTTTTGTTGAGGGACAATTTTCTTTGATAAATCAATTAAAAATAACTATTCATGAAGTCAACATGTTAGCATGACTAGTGTGGTGGAAATCAAGAAGAGCACACAGGATGCTTGCCAACCTTTCCCCCAAGAGCCTAGATATCCAGAGACCATGAGAGAGTGGCCAAGGAGACCTGGATGCACAGCCGTGAGTTCATGGCTTTGATCCTCTGAGAACCTAAACTTGCAGGGAAAATCAGAGCTTTCAACAAAGGCTCACTCCACCTTGGAAACCCTCAGGGGTGTGAGCAATATTTGTTGAGTGCCCACTTGAACTTGAACCATGTGCTACTTTAAAGATCTCAAGAAGAACCCCCAGATGCAGCCTCAGAGACGCTCACCCACCAGCTAGGGAGAGATGTTCATACCGAGAAGAGTACCTAGTGGCATAGTATTATCTTTTCATGGAACAAATATTTGTGGAGGGCTTGGGATGGACAAGCAATAAAAGAGCAAGAAATTAATTAGAAGGTGTAAGTCAGGACCCTGCCTCTTTTAAAAAAAATAAATCACTAACAAGTGTGGAAAACGAAAGATAGAAATCAGGACCAGATCACAAAAGAACTGAAATGCTATCAGAGGGGTTTGGGTTTTCTTCTCAAGATGATGGAGAGTCATTGAAGGATCTTGAGCTGGGCAGTGAATTGACCGGACTCATATTCTGGAATGATCTCTACATAGCTAGGTCAAGAGCAGATGGATGGTGGCCAAGGGCCGCTTTGTGTGATACCATCAACAAGCGCTTCAAGAGGTTCTTTGTGCTTCAGTCTCTCCTCAGGATAACACAGTGCAAAGAGGAGCAGTGCCTACAGCAAGCAGAACTGGTTCAATGCAACTTTTATCAGGCCCCGGCTGGGCAACCTTGGGCACATTATTTACCTAAAGCTAAGCTCTCCCTCTTTTTTTTCTATACAGTGAAGCGAACAACACTTAGCCCATAAGGTGTTGGTAATAAAACAGATGATGTGCCTGAACATTTCCAGCAATCCTCCCAGCACTGTGAGATTCAGTCAGATAAAAGTGGCCTTTCCCAGCCTAGGAGGGACGCCACCTAGCACCCTGCCAAGCTGCCACTTAGCAGGAGATACATTTTCCTCGTGGAATTTATCCAGAGCATTTTGTTGCTAATGTGTGAAAATAATGGCCATTCATTCTCCATCAGTGAGCGGCCCGCCCGAGGTCAACTGAGATCAAAGCTCAATCTTAGATCTGAGTCAAACCACCCAAAAACAATCCTGCGGAGAATTAAACTGGGTTACACAGACCAGTGCAGGAACTGAGGGCTCCCATCGTCCTAGCAACACTTGAAGCAAACACTGGTACAGATTTGCTGGCATGCACGGCGCTGAGCACATCTGGCCTTCCTATTATCCTCACGCAAGCAAAAAAAAATGATGTCGTGTAAACTGATCTTCAGGCCAATTATATGGTCTAAGTGTTACAGTGTTTGTATTGGCTCCTCAGGCTCCAGGTTTTAAGGACTTCATTTTAGCCACACCCCTCCCTGAAGCCCTAAATGCGTCTTACTGTAACTGACCCCAGGGATTTGTTTGTGCGGAATCTGCACCTTTTGTTCAGGATGGTCAGTGTGCGTAAATGCTTCATAGGTCAACTGGGTGTCCAAAGCACTGTGGGAGGTCCTATACGAATAAGTTGCAAGAGTTATGTGGCTCCCCAATAAGGGGTGTGCAAGAGGGAGCTGATCGATAATTCTCATCGATCTTTCTAACTTTCTATCCCTCTCTCTTCCTCTTTGTAAAAAAAAGTCAACAAAATATATTAACAAAAAAAAACAAAAAAAGCCAAAACCGGTTTGGCTCAGTGGATAGAGCGTCGGCCTGCGGACTGAAAGGTTCAATTCCAGTAAAGGGCGTGTACCTTGGTTGCGGACACATCCCCAGTAGGGAGTGTGCAAGAGGCAGCTGATGGATGATTCTCTTTCCTAACTCTCTATCCCTCTCTCTTCCTCTTTGTAAAAAAATCAATAAAATATATTTTAAAAAATTTAAAAAAAAGAGTTACGTGGCAATGAGACGATAGAAGAGGGTGCAGAAGGGGGCAGGCTCTGGGGGCGGCTCTGGTCACACGTCCAACGCTACATTTTGGCCCTGAATGCCAGTGCTATCATAGAGGCCAGGTATGGCGTGGTGGCTCTCGCCTGCAGCTCCCTTAGAAGGCACTACACTAGCCAAGACCAGTTTGGCTCAATGGATAGAGCGTCGGCTTGGGGACTGAAGGGACCCGGGTTCAATTCCGGTCAAGGGCATGTACCTTGGCTGCGGGCACATCCCCAGTAGGGGGTGTGCAAGAGGCAGCTGATCGATGACTCTCTCATTGATGTTTCTAGCTCTCTATCTCTCTCCCTTCCTCTCTGTACAAAATCAATAAAGTATATTAAAAAAAAAAAAAGAAGAAGAAGAAGAAGAAGAAGAAGAAGAAGAAGAAGAAGGCACTACACTAGAAGTCAGCAAACCTGGTACTGCCTCCAGCTCACCTTTCCCCAGTACATAAGGTCATTATTGTGTCTGTATTTCCCCATCTAAGACTCAGTTTCATTTTCCGAACACCGTGTGCCCGGCATCACCAGCATTGATGAGGTTAATGCTCGTAATGACGGTCAGTGGCAGGTGGTGCCGTTATCCTCACATTGGGGTGTCATGCAGCAGGGCAGGGCAGAGACGTGAGCTTACCCTCCCCTCTGGCTGCTTAAGGAGTGCTCTGGGCTGTTGTTCTGCCAGCTCTCACGGACTGGGGGCTCTAAGGAACCACAGCCCAGTCCTCTGGAGCAGGAGACAGTGAGTGCAGTCCCGGGGCCCCACGGAAAGGGGGCTTCTTGCCCTCCCCACCTCAGCCCGCCCCAGCGCCCTGCAGCTTGGCCAAGAGGCCATGGTGGCAGCTGCAGGGACTGCCTAGGAAGATCTTTCTCTCTTATTCACCCTCACCCCCACCCCCACTTCTAGATTAGTGGGCCTCCTCTCTTCCCCAGCCCACCTACCATTGCTGATCCCTAGTGGAACGGAGAAGCCACACAGGGACCTGACCCCAGGCACCAGCAGCTCCTTCCCCAGGACTGGAATTTCACCAGGGAAATGAACCTCTCGTCTCTGGGTCTGACTTAGCACGTCTAGGAACGAAGGACAGAATGCACAGCACAGTAAATCCCAGCTCTGACTCGTCCGTGACAGGAATGTATCACAGATGGTAACCATTAGGGCTCTAACGTCTTGAAGGAAAGCGCTTTATCCAGAATCATAAATAAACCGTAACCAAGGCTTAGGTTTATAAACCTGTAAAGGACGACTGCGTGCCGCACGGGGAATTCACAGGACTGGGTTACAACATCAACTGACGCGTGCGCTTGCTCTGGGAGTGCTGGGCGATGCAGTGAGAAGATGGCAATTTCTTTCTGCAGTTAGTGGACCCCCCCCCCCCCCCCCCAATCTGAACCTAACAAAGTCAGGCCCTGAGTTCATCTCATGAAATGGGAGCTCAGAGAAGGTGGGGTGCTGGTATCTAAATATGGCATTGTCATTCCTGAACCAGTCGTGTAGCAGCAAACTATAAAACAAGGCCACTCCCTTCAGAGGTTTTCATCTGGTCTGGGAAGCAAGGCACTCACAGATCAAACAATGTTAGCACGCAGGCTTGGTGTGTGGCCGAGATTATAACTAGAGAAGAGACGAATTTGAGGGAGGAGGGGCGGAGCTAAGGCTGAATGGAGACTGGTGTCATTGGGAAAGCTGTGTGGAGGGAAAGGGACTTGACTTAATGGGCACCTATGAGCAAGGTTTGCTCACTTCACATCTCCCACCAACATACATGTGTCCCTGCGGTGACTCTCATCCCAAGCCGAGTCTCCAAGCACACACTTGTATATCCTACAGCAGTGGTCGGCAGACAGCGGCTCTAGAGCCACATGAGGCTCTTTGGCCCCTTGAGTGTGTCTCTTCCACAAGATACCATGTGCGGGTGCGCATATGCAGCTCGATTGAAACTTTGTGGCCCATGCGCAGAAGTCGGTTTTCGGCTCTCACAAAAAATTTCAGTCGCTGTACTGTTGAAATTTGGCTCGGTTGACTAATGAGTTTGCTGACCACTATCCTACAGGTAGCTATCCCGAAGGTAATTGTTTCTCAAATGCCACCCACCCCGCCTCTTCCTTAGTTGTGTGGTCTTGGGAAAGTGACAACTTTTCTGAGCCTGAGTTTCCTCATCTGTGAAGTGCAAATGGATAATAATCCCTGGCTGACAGGGCTGTTGAGATTAAAATCAGTGACCTCTGGGCGTGGCTTGACCCTATGCATCAGTTAAGGTCAGGCCCCTTCTCCTCCTCCTAGAGAGACAAACTGCAGGGAAAATGCAGCTTGGGAAAAGGAAATAAGATGCCTGTTGTATGCCAGTAGAGTGTTGGCATGGACACTGGTCTGCTGTGTACATATTTCTCTCAGGCTGCCCACCACCGCTCCCACCTGCCCTGTTGGAAGGTCCTAGCTTCAGCTCACATCTTCTCTCTGATCTCTTCCAGGGGCGCTGCATCAACTTCACCAGAGTCAAGAACAACCAGCCCGCCAAGTACCCCCTCAACAATGCCTACCACACCAACTCGCCGCCTCCTGCCCCCATCTACACCCCCCCACCTCCTGCTCCCCACTGCCCTCCCCCACCCCCCAGTGCTCCCACTCCTCCAATTCCATCCCCCCCTTCCACCCTTCCCCCTCCCCCTCAGGCTCCACCTCCCAACAGGGCGCCACCCCCCTCCCGGCCACCTCCCAGGCCTTCCGTCTAGAACCCAAAGCTCATGCTCTGTGCTCCCTCAGAAACTCTAGGGAGGAGGCTCCTCTGTGGTGTTAGAACGAGTCTTCCCAGGTAAAGGAGGCTTCTGCTTTGGAAATGAGTGGCGACAAAGCCCACTAAACATTCACACATTTTAAAAACTGATTTATAATGCCAATGTGCCGACAATTGTCAGCGGAAAGAAATCGAACTGTTGAAATGCCTGAAAACAAATGACAGGGCACCTGCATTCACAATTATAGCCAGCCAGCCATCACCTCTAGAAGGTTCCAGAGACAGTAAAACTGCTGAGATGCTTCAAATGGGATTGTGTCTCATTATGGAGACCAATAAGAAATCATTTCTCTGAGGATGAGATGCAGAATTGGATAAAAAATCACATTGCTGAGTTTCTAAATGGTGCTTTCTCGCCTTCCCTCCGACTCCATCCTTTAACCTTGGACCCTTGGCCCAGGAACCAAGGAATCCTCACCCCTTCCTGTGCACCACCAAGGAAGGTGGAAGCCCTTTGCCTACTCATTTAGGGGAAGATTGGAGTAGCCAATGTGGCAAGAAACTCAACATCAGACAGATATCCAAAAGTATGTCTTACTGGGATTTTCAGAGGAGCAAAAACACACCATATTTTCCTTCCAAATCCTCCCAGTTTCCAAGTGAGGAAGAAAGCAGGTGTTCACTGATGGGAAAAGGTATGTTGCCATGTTGCTGTGTATGTGAGTCAGGTGTGTGCATTGATATGGGGCACACTGATGGGAGCATCAGACAGTTTCTAAAAACCACAGCCATCAGCAGCTGGGTGTGGCTGGCTTTGGCCTACATCTCCCCTAAATCATAGACAATACATTGTCAAAGAGCAACCTGTTAATGGTGCATGTAAAAAATATAGATTGGCTTTGGTTTAAATCACTTGAGATAGGAAGAAGTGATTGTGATAAATGTCTGATTTTATTCTTCTTTCTTGGGAAAGTTATTCACCTGAGACTTCTAGATAGAGATGCGAGACAAGGGTCCTGACATAATAAGGAAACTCTCACCTGGTTATTTGATTAACCCCAAAAAAGCACATATGTGGATGCAAATAGATTTCTCCTTGGCTTTTCAACATGCTTGCAATTTATTATCAGCTACTGACCCCGAGGAAATACACCAGAAATGCTCTGCCTGAAATTTCCACCATTCCTGGGGCCCACCCCATCGTTCTAAATCCGTTGTGAGCAGAAGCCCTGTAAACACGTTCTAAACACTGGGTCTCATCACCCAACGGTGAAAAGAGGGCCATTGTTGAGGGCCTCCTGCATCAACCTGTTCAAAATTATCTCCTCCTCCAACTTTCCACAGTTCTTAAAATTCCCCTCCCAAGCTCCTTAAACCTTGCCAGGAACAAAGTAGAATATAAACATAAGTGTCGTGCTTTGGGCTCTGGTCTCCAAAGATCCTCCAGGAACCCATCAAGCCAGACTCATTGTTCCACTTTGCTTAGAACAGAGACATGAGGACCTGGCGTGTGTTCCATAAACACCGATTCTTCTAGCCATGACAGACAAAGCTAATCAATCACAACACTATTTCCCATGCAGCCCAATGACTTCTGTCCTCAAATGACAACTCTAAAGAACCACCACTCACCTATTAGAGGAGAGAGAGAGAGAGAGAGAGAGAGAGAGAGAGAGAGAGAGAGAGAGAGAGAGAGAGAAGAGAGAGAGAGAGAAGAGCCACGAGCTCTATTGGCCAACCCCATTTTGGAAAACAACAAACTTGGGGGAATGGGGAAACCCTTAGGCAAAAAAAAGGTACAGTCAGGGGAAAACAGATCCAGGCACAGTGCCTAGACTACAGGCACTAAATGTGCAGTGTCGATGCCCAACTGACACTTCTCCAAGTGTACCTCAGCCCTTCTCCCAGCCTGCCACTCCCAGAGAATCCCCCAGCCTTCTCACAGAGCTAAAATCAGAGATTGTTTCCAGGACTTAGGAAAGCAACCTCCCTCCCCAACCCTCAACCTGGCCTGTATTGTCTGTTTTTAGAATACTAGGCTTCTTTAGGATAGTCCTTCATGAAGTCGGAGCCAGAATGTCTCAGCCACTTGCAGGGACATTGCTGGGCTCCAGAAAACTATTCCATAGAAGAATGGGACCCCCAGGCTCACAGTGTAGGGATGTTGAGCCCATGACAACTGTTTTGACTGCTGGCAGTACAGAACAGTCCACCCCACACCACTGCCGCGTGACTCACTACGGCCTTAAGGAAATTCAGGCCCAGATGCTGACATTGCGAAAAAAATCGGGTGCGAATGCAACATTCGGGAACTCAACAGCACATCAATCAGAAGCCCTGTGCAGTTTCTGAGATGTTGTTTCGTGAACTTTTTGATGAAATAGGGAGTTGCAAATATATGATGATTTTGAAGAGGATTCACAGGATTTGTCCTTAAAACTGACTCATTGTGTAGTCACTTAGAATTACAGTTGAGAAGGAAAAACACCTGAACTATATGAACAAGGCAATATTTTAAGAGTAGGCTATTATAGGCAGGAAAATTCTTGAACTGGTTTATAAAATCTATCAGTACTTGTATCATTCCCTGTAAAAGGCAGCAGACATATGATTGTGATCAAGAAACTGCACAAAATTATTTTTTAAACCCCCCATGTTGTTGTCTTTGTGAAGTTTTTTTTTATAATAAAACCCACCATTGTGTTGTATATATTCATATTCCATGAGTTAGATGGAAGCATTTCCTACCCAGTGTGAATAAAAAGAACAGTTGTAGTAAATTATTATAAAGCCAATGATATTTCATGGCAGGTTATTCTACCAAGCTGTGCTTGTTGGTTTTTCCCATGACTGTATTGCTTTTATAAATGTACAAATAGTTACTGAGATGACGAGACCCGTGTTCTCACAGCATTAATAAGAACCTTGAGGGGTCCCCTCTGTTAATGACCAGCCCCCAAACAGTTTCTGGCCTGGAGCTTGGCACATATTCCAGTGAGATACAAGGCCTCTCTTTTCCCAAGGTCAAGAACAGAGCTGGAGGACAAATTAAAAAGTAGTCTTGGATACCTGGCCATGGGGAACCTCACTATAAATATCAGTAGAATGGGCAGAGATGTTCACAAAATTTCATATAACTAAAGTCCAAACACTGTCAGATAAGGGAAACCATTAAAACATCAGGGGGAAAAAATAATAATAATTGTGAGATAATGAGCAACGGTTTGAGCCCGATGCGAACTTAATAAAAATAATTAATGCTGTGTGAAATGGGTTGAATTAGTTTGCAAACCTTTATAAAGATGTACGCAGTAAAATGCCTATTAATGCACACCAGATGGGAATGGGGTGTTCTGTCAGTTGCCTTTTCTAGTTATCTGAGCTCTACTATATTATCATACTTGGATAACCAATTTAAAAAAACTAGAATATGTTTTTTAAATACACTTAACATTAAACTCTTCTTCTAAGTCTTTTTTTTTCCTTTCTATGATAATTCAGAAGACAGTTATGGATCTCCAGTTCCTCTGAGTCGTTATTAAAAAAAATTACTAATCGCTGTACCATGCTATAGGAGACCAGGCTAAGACTGTACAATGACGAACTCTGGAAGTTGCTTTTTATAAAAAAATAATAATAATAAATAAATTCCTAAAATCAACTCTTTTGCTGGTTGTCTCTTTATTATAAAAATAAAACGTAGATTGTTCAAGAGTTTTAAAATCCTGGTTATAATAAAATGGCTGCCCTTCACAACTGAAATTACATTTCACAAATTATGTTGTGCCCTCTGCCAAGCTCCTTACTGTCTTAATTACTCTTTCTTCTTTAGCTGCCCAGCATTCAAAATAGTCTTTGTTTCCAGTAATCATTTTACATTTTAAAAAGTAATCAATGCTAAGTGGAAATGAAAGATGGAGACCAAGAATGCAGAAGAAATATGTTGTCTCATTTAGGATAATGTGCCTGCGACAAAAACGTGGCTATGATTGATTTGACTTACAGAGCAAGTATTCCAGAGGTTTGCAGCTGCTCAAGAAACCCAGCAGTATTATAGATAGTGCTGCAGTAAATACCCTTTTATCAACTTACACTTCAAAATATGTTTATTATTGCCCAGCCAGCGTGGCTCAGTGTCAACCTCTGAACCAGGAGATCACGGTAGGATTCCTTGTCAGGGCACATGCCCGAACTGCAAGCTCAATCCCCAATGTGGGGCATGCGGGAGGCAGCTGATCAATGATTCTCTCTCATTATTGACATTTCTATCTCTCTTTCCCTTCCGCTCTGAAATATATATATATTCAGGAACAAATAAGAGATACTTTTACCTACAAAAAAAAAAAAAAAAAAAAAAAAAAAAAAAAACTAGGTGAAAGAGCTGAATTGAAGCTGCTAAGGAGAATAAAGTGATTTGTATCAGAAATAATAAACATTTTTAAAATATTTTTATTGATTTCAGAGAGGAAGGGAGAAGGAGAGAGAGAAACCTCAATGATGAGAGAGAATCATTGGTCAGCTGTCTCCCCCATGCCCTACTGAACCCATAACCTGAGCATGTGCTCTGACCTTGGAATTGAACCATGACCTGGTTCATAGATTGACACTCAACCCCTGAGCCAGGCCTCTGGGGCTGAATTTTTTTCTTTGCAAGTCCTCATTAAGCCTTGAATTTATCTTAATTGAAATTAAAAAAAAAAAAAAAAAAACACCTGCAAACAGAAAATCATGGCACAACTTATTTCCAAGATTTCATTAGTATTTCATTTTCATACTAATTGGGGCACATAGACATTTTTTAAATTACATTCTTAAACATTGAGTCGTTTTGAGATAACCGGCTAGTAATTTGGAAGGGGGTGGGGGAAAATTAGAGTCCTTCCTCACTCCTTACCCCAGAATAAATTCCAGCTGAATTTAAGTGTAATAAATAAAACCAGAAACATATTAGAAGTAGGAAAAATGCTTACTGTATGGTATGAAGAATTTTTAAATCCT